TAGTGTCCCCGCGGCCCGGTCCTCGACCAGGCCTCCACCCCCAGGAAGCAGCCCGTAACAGCTGACTAACTCCCAGGTACCTATTTACTGCTAGGTAACAGGGACATTCAGGGTGAAAGAAACTTTGCCCATTTGTTTCTGCCTCGTGCGGGAATCGAACCCGCGCCACAGAATTACGAGTCCTGCGCGCTATCCACCAGGCTACCAGGCCCCCCTGTAGGAAGATCTTACTTTTAATAAAGAACACCATAAAGTAGCTGTCACAACTGGAAGAAAAATGACAGGTTGGATAACAAGAACCGTTTCGGTCCGTCCTGGACCATTCTCAAGTCGATTGTATCACATTCTCAAGTCACAATCGATTTGAGAATGGTCCAGGACGGACCGAAACGTCGTCGTCCCTTCACCTTCTAGTGTGTTGTCTGGTCACCTTACTTTAGCCACGTTATTGTGACTCCTCGTCTGCAACGACCATGTTCTCCCAGTCAACGATGACCAGTTAACGTGGGAGGACATAGCACGCACTATGGCATGGACGTATTGTTCAAGTCCAACCACCAGATTGAGTTTGAGTTGCAGTTAAAAAGCTTGTTTTTAAACTTTCTGTCCTTGAGTCGTTGTATGTAGCTATCTGTATTCAGGTCTTATCGATGGCTTCCAAGATGGTGATTCAGGAGTCGGGTGTTTAGTGTGCAGGTGTGTGGTGCTACGGCATCTTGTTGAGCACATGTGACACGAGTCCCATGTGTGTGTGTGTGTGTGTGGTACATGGGGCTGGGAACGGGGCGACAACAAAGGTGGCTTTGGTTCGAACTTTTCTGGTTTGAAGAAACAGTTGTGTCTTAAGGAGTGGCCGGGGTGGACACACACACACACACACACACACACACACACACACACACACACACACACACACACACACACACACACACACACACACACACACACACACACAACGGAAGCTATACCTGTTTGCTGTTGTCTGGCCTGTGGTCTGTTGGTGGTAACCTCTGGGGGGGGGGGGGAGTGGGGGGGCATCATGCCCAGGATGGGGCAAGGGGGCACACGCTGCCAGCTTCACCTGGTCTATAAGAACATAAGAACAAAGGTAACTGCAGAAGGCCTATTGGCCCATACGAGGCAGCTCATATTTATAACCACCCAATCCCACTCATATACAAGTCCAACTCACGTTTGAAACAATCGAGGGACCCCACCATCAAGTTACGTGGTAATTGGTTCTACAAATCAACAACCCTGTTACCGAACCAGTATTTACCCAAGTCTTTCCTAAATCTAAACCTATCCAATTTATACCCATTGTTTCGTGTTCTGTCTTGTGTTGATACTTTTAATACTCTATTAATATCCCGTTTGTTATGTCCATTCATCCACTTGTAAACCTCTATCATGTTACCCCTAACTCTTCGCCTTTCCAGTGAATGCAATTAAGCTTTGTTAATCTTTCTTCATATGACAGGTTTCTAATTTGGGGAATTAACTTTGTCATCCACTGATTCTGACATGAGGCAGAAACTGATTCTGACATGAGGCAGAAACTGATTCTGACATGAGACAGAAACTGATCCTGACATGAGACAGAAACTGATTCTGACATTACCTGATCAACCAGGCTGTGACTCATACGTCAGGCTGCGAGCAGCCGCGTCTAACAGCCTGGTTGATCAGTCCAGCAACCAGGAGGCCTGGTCGACGACCGGGCCGCGGGGACACTAAGCCCCGGAAGCACCTCAAGGTAACCTCAAGGTAGACATGAGGCAGAAACTGATTCTGCCTCATGTCAGTATTGCACGAGGCAAAATCAGTTGTAAAATGGGTAATGGGTTAATGGGGTGGTGTGACGAGGGAGTGTTGGGGGGGGGGGTGGAGGGAGTGTTGGGGGGGGGGGGGTGGAGGGAGTGTTGGGGGGGGGTGGAGGGAGTGTTGGGGGGGGGGGGGGGTGGAGGGAGTGTTGGGGGGGGGGGTGGAGGGAGTGTTGGGGGGGGGTGGAGGGAGTGTTTGGGGGGATGGAGGGAGTGTTGGAGGGGATGGAGGGAGTGTTAGAGGGATGGAGGGAGTAGACTAACGGGCCAGGAGGGGGGTGGGGGTGGCGGGAAAGGTGTCACCCCCCCCCCCCGGCGTCTTTGTTTACATCCCTGTTGCTGCCCCCCGCCCCCGCCCCCCTCCCCCACGTGCGCTCAATACCCCACACCCCTCCCGCAAAGTGCCTTACCCCCCCCCCCCCCCTCCCTCAATCACACCCTCCGCCACCCCGCCCAATACGACCCCAGCGCCCGCTAGGCCAGTTAGTCCGGTTCACCCCCACTGGTTCATTTGGCCAACTGGTCTGGCCGGGGAGACAGCTACAGACGCCCTGGCGTACCCTGGATGGTCCATTTGTCAGGTGTGACTTATTTACCGGCCTCTTCAAGTGGTGTGGCTCAGACGGTGTGGCTCCTCTCTCACACCTTGGGTCAGACATTACCCCTTGACGTCACAGTCTCTAGTCGTCTATATATATATATATATATATATATATATATATATATATATATATATATATATATATATATATATATATATACCTATATAAGGCTCTAGTTCGGCCGCATCTAGAGTATCCCTCAGTACCACTACACACCATAAAGAAAACTAACATGCAGAAACTGCAAGCAGTGGGAAATAAGGCGCTAAGGAGAGCAGCAAAACACCATCCACCATATGATCAGACAATCCAGGAGCTCCAGGAACTCCTGAACATACAGCCACTAAACATCAGACTGCAGCACCAAGCCTTCAGGGTGTGGAACACCATCGAAATGTTAGAGGACCCAATGTTAGAAAGATTGCTCCAAGATGAGACGCCCCACTCCCACAGCTGGTGGCCCAAGATGAGACGCCCCGCTCCCACAGCTGGTGGCCCAAGATGAGACGCCCCGCTCCCACAGCTGGTGGCCCAAGATGAGACGCCCCACTCCCACAGCTGGTGGCCCAAGATGAGACGCCCCGCTTCCACAGCTGGTGGCCCAAGATGAGACGCCCCACTCCCACAGCTGGTGGCCCAAGATGAGACGCCCCACTCCCACAGCTGGTGGCCCAAGATGAGACGCCCCGCTCCCATAGCTGGTGGCCCAAGATGAGACGCCCCGCTCCCACAGCTGGTGGCCCAAGATGAGACGCCCCGCTCCCACAGCTGGTGGTCCAAGATGAGACGCCCCGCTCCCACAGCTGGTGGTCCAAGATGAGACGCCCCACTCCCACAGCTGGTGGCCCAAGATGAGACGCCCCACTCCCACAGCTGGTGGCCCAAGATGAGACGCCCCGCTCCCACAGCTGGTGGCCCAAGATGAGACGCCCCCCTCCCACAGCTGGTGGCCCAAGATGAGACGCCCCGCTCCCACAGCTGGTGGCCCAAGATGAGACGCCCCGCTCCCACAGCTGGTGGCCCAAGATGAGACGCCCCGCTCCCACAGCTGGTGGCCCAAGATGAGACGCCCCGCTCCCACAGCTGGTGGCCCAAGATGAGACGCCCCGCTCCCACAGCTGGTGGCCCAAGATGAGACGCCCCGCTCCCACAGCTGGTGGCCCAAGATGAGACGCCCCGCTCCCACAGCTGGTGGCCCAAGATGAGACGCCCCGCTCCCACAGCTGGTGGCCCAAGATGAGACGCCCCACTCCCACAGCTGGTGGCCCAAGATGAGACTACAAGAGGGAGCCAGCTTAGCTTAGCTGCCAACCCCACACATCGTGTCAGCAAGGCGGACAGCCCGCCTGGTGTCAGCAAGGCGGACAGCCCGCCTGGTGTCAGCAAGGCGGACAGCCCGACTGGTGTCAGCAAGGCGGACAGCCCGACTGGTGTCAGCAAGGCGGACAGCCCGCCTGGTGTCAGCAAGGCGGACAGCCCGCCTGGTGTCAGCAAGGCGGACAGCCCGCCTGGTGTCAGCAAGGCGGACAGCCAGCCTGGTGTCAGCAAGGCGGACAGCCCGCCTGCTTTCATACCTCTCACTGTATTTCCCACTTCCAAACTTTGCATATATAAGATGCCGTCTCTCAGGAGGACATATTCTGGGAGGGAGGGGGAGAGAGGGAAGGGAATTTGAGAATATGGGAGAAAGGGAAGACGGTAGAGAGGGAGAGAGAGAGAGAGAGATAAAGCTGGAATAAGGAGAGAAGAAGTGATCAATCAGGCAGGGCGTGTAGAGTAGTTATACCTATAAACCTGTACAGATTGGGACATATATAGTACAGATTGGGACATAAATAGTATAGATTGGGACATATATAGTACAGATTGGGACATATATAGTACAGATTGGGACATATATAGTACAGATTGGGACATATATAGTACAGATTGGGACATATAGTACAGATTGGGACATATATAGTACAGATTGGGACATATATAGTACAGATTGGGACATATAGTACAGATTGGGACATATATATAGTACAGATTGGGACATATATACAAGATGCTCGTTCGATGCGTAAGTGTATGCTCGTGCCTGTCCCATGTGTGTGTGTGTATATGTCGTAAATGTCTGTTAGAGTGAGTGAGATCTAGATCTTGGGCCCCGCCTCCTATAGCTATTAATGGCAGGATGGCAGTTTGAGGATGTACAGCACTTGTATATTGAACTGTTGATTTTTAGCTTGAAAGAACTATCATTAGCCAAGATAATGTGGAGTGTATCTTGATATATTTGTGTGTGACGAAGGATATGTGCTAGGGTGTAGGCTAGATGCCTAGGGCTAGCCTCATTAACCTTTGTAGGGAGACTGGTGGGTGGGAAGGGACACTCATAGACGGGTTTATATATATCTCTCGGCTCCATTGCCCCCCATTGAGGAGAGGTGGCCCCTATAACCCCCGCATGAAGTTGAAGGATATGACATTTTCTGAGCATATTGATTGGTTTATTATTTGTTTACAATATTGCGTGTGTGTGTGTATGGCCAGTGTGGTGTAATCTGACGTGGAGTTCTCACCCTTACAGGGCGCCCCTGGACGCTATGCCGCCACCATGCCAGGCCAGGAGCGGGAGCAGATAGTGCCAACCAACGCTGGCATGTGAAGACGGTAAGCCATGTCTCCAGGAGCTGTTGTTAGGCCTTATGCTGTGTATGATGTGTAGTCATATTTGTGTAGGCTCTTGTCCCTGTATTAGCTTCACCATGAGAGCTGTAGTCACGTAGGGCGGCTTGTGAGTGGACACACCGCCATAACACATAACATAAGAACAACCCAGCGGGTTTTCTTCCTATTGGGGAGTGTTGGACATGCTGCTATGGCGTTGTGTCCAGTCACAGGATGAGTGGCGCTGCCTGATACTGTCACTATGGTGGTGTGTCCACTCACAGGATGAGTGGAGCTGCCCAATACTGTCACTATGGCGGTGTGTCCACTCACAGGATGAGTGGAGCTGCCCAATACTGTCACTATGGTGGTGTGTCCACTCACAGGATGAGTGGCGCTGCCTGATACTGTCACTATGGTGGTGTGTCCACTCACAGGATGAGTGGCGCTGCCCAATACTGTCACTATGGCGGTGTGTCCACTCACAGGATAGAGTGGAGCTGCCCAATACTGTCACTATGGTGGTGTGTCCACTCACAGGATGAGTGGCGCTGCCTGCCCAATACTGTCACTATGGTGGTGTGTCCACTCACAGGATGAGTGGCGCTGCCCAATACTGTCACTATGGCGGTGTGTCCACTCACAGGATGAGTGGCGCTGCCTGATACTGTCACTATGGTGGTGTGTCCACTCACAGGATGAGTGGCGCTGCCCAATACTGTCACTATGGTGGTGTGTCCACTCACTGGATGAGTGGCGCTGCCCAATACTGTCACTATGGTGGTGTGTCCACTCACAGGATGAGTGGCGCTGCCTGATACTGTCACTATGGTGGTGTGTCCACTCACAGGATGAGTGGCGCTGCCCAATACTGTCACTATGGTGGTGTGTCCACTCACAGGATGAGTGGCGCTGCCCAATACTGTCACTGGTGGTGTGTCCACTCACAGGATGAGTGGCGCTGCCTGATACTGTCACTATGGTGGTGTGTCCACTCACAGGATGAGTGGAATACTGTCACTATGGTGGTGTGTCCACTCACAGGATGAGTGGCGCTGCCCAATACTGTCACTATGGTGGTGTGTCCACTCACAGGATGAGTGGCGCTGCCCAATACTGTCACTATGGCGGTGTGTCCACTCACAGGATGAGTGGCGCTGCCCAATACTGTCACTATGGTGGTGTGTCCACTCACAGGATGAGTGGCGCTGCCCAATACTGTCACTATGGCGGTGTGTCCACTCACAGGATGAGTGGCGCTGCCCAATACTGTCACTATGGCGGTGTGTCCACTCACAGGATGAGTGGCGCTGCCCAATACTGTCACTATGGCGGTGTGTCCACTCACAGGATGAGTGGCGCTGCCCAATACTGTCACTATGGCGGTGTGTCCACTCACAGGATGAGTGGCGCTGCCCAATACTGTCACTATGGCGGTGTGTCCACTCACAGGATGAGTGGCGCTGCCCAATACTGTCACTATGGCGGTGTGTCCACTCACAGGATGAGTGGCGCTGCCCAATACTGTCACTATGGCGGTGTGTCCACTCACAGGATGAGTGGCGCTGCCCAATACTGTCACTATGGCGGTGTGTCCACTCACAGGATGAGTGACGCTGCCCAATACTGTCACTATGGCGGTGTGTCCACTCACAGGATGAGTGGCGCTGCCCAATACTGTCACTATGGCGGTGTGTCCACTCACAGGATGAGTGGCGCTGCCCAATACTGTCACTATGGCGGTGTGTCCACTCACAGGATGAGTGACGCTGCCCAATACTGTCACTATGGCGGTGTGTCTACTCACAGGATGAGTGACGCTGCCCAATACTGTCACTATGGCGGTGTGTCTACTCACAGGATGAGTGGCGCTGCCCAATAAACTCGCCCCTCGGGGCAAAATGTAAACAAAATTAAATTTAATGTTATTCCTAGCGGCAAGATAACTTTGCCTCATGCTACAAAGATAACTCTCATTCCCAAGGGTTTAATATGTTGTTGGTTATAGTTGCAAGTTGTTATCGAGTTGATCATGATTGTTAAACTAGCTTGTCATTTTGATTAGGAAGGGATAGCGAGGATAGCAGTAAGGGAAGCTAAAGTTTGAATGGTAGTATGTATTCACTCGACACTTAGTGTGACCTGGGGTCGAGCAAGGACATAGTCGAGTGAGAGTGTGAGTGTGCAGTTAAAGGAACATGTCATGCTTTTTATAGTCATAATTATATGACCTTTATTCCATCTAAGTAAAGATTTAAGTTGGGAAAACTTATGTTGCATAAGTTGTCCTTTCTCTGGCCGCTGAGGATGAGGATAAGTGGATAATCTTGAAGGATTATAATGTACAGAATAAGGAGGAGGATCTGGATTCTCCTCCTTATTGGATCCTCCAGTAATCTTAGGAGGATCTGGAGCCATCGCTGTCCCGGGTAGGAGCCAGTGCTCGTGTGTGTGGAGCAGTGAGTGCACTCTTCACTGCGATTTACGGGCTCGCCATAGCCCGTGCTACATGGACATTACGTTCTGAGTAGCTAAATATAAAGCAACATTAAAATCCTCACTGAGGACAGATCCACTAGGGGTACTAATTCCGTTGTTTACTGCCTTTACTAAAGTCTACAGAATCTCTAAGACGGATAACAGTGGGTCAGCAGGGGGATGCTTGAGGCGGCCTGGTGTGGCTGCTGTTGCTGTTGCTGCTCCTTCTGTTGCTGCTCCTTCTGTTGCTGCTCCTTCTGTTGCTGCTGCTGGTTGTCAAGGATGATGGGGTCCGGGTTTCTTTTTCGCAATGTGTATTATCTGAAGCTTTTGTTTGTTGGGGCTAATTTTCCATTGCTTCTCAAAGTTGTTTATGAGTTCAATTGCCGCCTTGGTCTTGTCGGCTAGCAGCGGCTTTGATGGGCCCGGTTGGCGAATTATTTTGGGTGACATCGTCTGCGTATGTGATGTATTCTTCATGTTGGGGTTGGGGTAGGTCAGCTGTATATATGTTGAATAGAGTGGGGGAGAGGCAGCTTCCTTGTGGTACTCCACTTTTCAGTTCTATTACGTCTTTTCTATTCTATTAGGCTATCATCAATGGTGTTGCCGCTTCTCCTCCCCCTCCTCCCCCACCTCCCCCCCTCCCTCAGCTCCCTTCCCCCCCCCCTGCCTCCCCCACAGGTCTTAAAGGAGGGGGAAGGGGAGGGGGGTCGAAGGGAGGTCAAGTTTTATGGCTTAATCGTTTTGGTAATTTATCAGTCAACAGTTGGCGGCCTCTCCACCTCCCTGCTCCACCCTCCGTGTACACCTACCTCCTGGTGTACGGGTACGGGCGAGTGTACACGGTGTAATGATTACTCATTAACGCTGCCATATTACTCACCAGCGGGTGTAATGAGTCAGTGTACTCTGACCGCTTCTGGTGAGTGTGTGTGTGAGTGCCTCACACACACACTCACACACCACTCACCACTCTCTCTCGCTCACACACCCCCTCACCACTCTCTCTCCCTCACACACCTCCACTCACTGCTCTCTCTCAACACCTTCACCGTCTCTGTGTCTCAACACCTTCACCGTCTCTGTGTCTCAACACCTTCACCGTCACTGTGTCTCAACACCTTCACAGTCACTGTATCTCAACACCTTCACCGTCTCTGTGTCTCAACACCTTCACCGTCTCTGTGTCTCAACACCTTCACCGTCTCTGTGTCTCAACACCTTCACCGTCTCTGTGTCTCAACACCTTCACCGTCTCTGTGTCTCAACACCTTCACCGTCTCTGTGTCTCATCACTTTCACCGTCTCTGTCTCAACACCTTCACCGTCACTGTGTCTCAACACCTTCACCGTCTCTGTGTCTCAACACCTTCACCGTCTCTGTGTCTCAACACCTTCACCGTCTCTGTGTCTCATCACCTTCACCGTCTCTGTCTCAACACCTTCACCGTCTCTGTGTCTCATCACCTTCACCGTCTCTGTCTCAACACCTTCACCTTCTCTGTGTCTCATCACCTTCACCGTCACTGTGTCTCAACACCTTCACCGTCTCTGTGTCTCATCACCTTCACCGTCTCTGTGTCTCAACACCTTCACTCTCACAGTTATTTAGAGAGCTCGAGAAGATTAACCTGTGGAATTGTGGATGCAAATCCCTTCCGAGGATCACTTCTTACATCACGTTGATGTCTCCTGAGGCCGCAGATGATAAGGATTACAGCTCACTTAGCGTTGAAGTCCCTTTGGATATATTGGATATATTTGGATATATCCACATTGGATAAAATATATTTTGAATATATATTTCGCTCTTTTAAGGACTATTCTCAATTGGAATAAGATGGATTTCATATAGAAAAAAATGGATTTCATATAGAAACTTTTGATGTTTTAAAGGCGTAATGTCTATACGTCTTCTGATGGTGTGGTTGGTCTTCTGATGGTGTGGTTGGGGTCTTCTGATGGTGGGGTTGGGGTCTTCTGATGGTGTGGTTGGGGTCTTCTGATGGTGTGGTTGGGGTCTTCTGATGGTGTGGTTGGGGTCTTCTGATGGTGTGGTTGGGGTCTTCTGATGGTGTGGTTGGGGTCTTCTGATGGTGTGGTTGGGGTCTTCTGATGGTGTGGTTGGGGTCTTCTGATGGTGTGGTTGGGGTCTTCTGATGGTGTGGTTGGGGTCTTCTGATGGTGTGGTTGGGGTCTTCTGATGGTGTGGTTGGGGTCTTCTGATGGTGTGGTTGGGGTCTTCTGATGGTGTGGTGGGTCTTCTGATGGTGTGGTTGGTCTTCTGATGGTGTGGTTGGGGTCTTCTGATGGTGTGGTTGGGGTCTTCTGATGGTGTGGTTGGTCTTCTGATGGTGTGGTTGGGTCTTCTGATGGTGTGGTGGGTCTTCTGATGGTGTGGTTGGGGTCTTCTGATGGTGTGGTTGGGGTCTTCTGATGGTGTGGTTGGGGTCTTCTGATGGTGGGGTTGGGGTCTTCTGATGGTGTGGTTGGGGTCTTCTGATGGTGTGGTTGGTCTTCTG